ATGTCCTGTGCTATTCACATTTCCTATATCCTCCTATCACACCTTCACTGTTGCAATCTGTACCATGCTTATTTCGATGTAGTGTGGTGTGCTTCTTTGAGCGGCATTCATGAAAACCCTTCACACTCCACGCTGTCGTTCTCATCCCTTCACCCTTGTGCTGGGAATGTTGATCACAGTCTGCCACATGGTTACTCAGTCCTCCACCCCAGTCTCTCTCTTGCCCCATAAGATCCGTCTGCTGTCTCCCTTGTTCACGAATTTCATTCGATCCTTGCCACCCCATCTGTGCTACTTGAGGCTAAAGCCTCTGGGTAAGATTCATAGTCAAGCTTTTGCAACATGGACCACATCTATGGTACAACTTACTCCAGTCTTCGCCGCGTGTATCCTGTTTCTATCCCTAATACCAAGTCTATGACTTCCCATGCCCTAGTCTCTTGTGTGCCAACCCACAAATGTTGTGATACTGCTTGCTTTGATTAGGTTCAATGTTGAACGTCAACGTTTGCTAGGATAGTTGTATTTTCCCACCATGAATAGAGTATATCTCATCAGCATCCCAAACATGATATGAAGCCGTATCATATGCCACTCCATCACACAGCCACAGTGGCCAATGTGTCCCACGGTAGATACTACTTTCAAAGCAAGCCAGGTCTCTATCCGTTCACACTTGTAGTGGGAGTTTCAATAGGGTCAGTTTGCATAAAGCCTTGTAATCGACGCCACATGATGTTGTGGGACGCTAACTTTGGGCAGCTAAGAGCTGACATTTCATACAAATTAATGCTAGAACTTCACAGTACTACTGGATTTATTCCAGGCTGTACAATGTGACTGAGTCCCAACTGCTTTATGTGCTCACATGGCTTCGAATCCCCATAACAGGGCCCAGCCCACAATTTATTGGCTTTGTGGAGTATACTTCTTTCATTGTAGATGTGACTAAATGTTTTTACTTTAGCTCGAAAATGATTGTATAATGGTACAGATCAAGTCAAAGCATGTCACGGGGTCCATAGTGTAGGAGTTACCAAGTTAAGTTAGTGTGTAAATCAAGGGCACCACTTATTCTTGGTGAACTTCTCGAGCACACGTTAATGTTCCAGTGGTTTGATAAAATTTCTACACCCATTTGTTGATAGCTCTGCTAGTCAGAAAGTTTAACAACTTCATGAAACCGTTGAAACCATTGACCCGATTGAGGCCTTCCCAGAGAGTGGCTGTGCAAACAATGCCAAAAGACGTCAAACAGGGCCCCACGTGGGAGATGCACACCAGAGGATCGGACAAACGAAAGGAAACTGGCAGTTGGAAGGAAAATAGCCTTTAGATGCACTAACATTAATGCTTCCTAAAGATCGGCAATCTAACAACCCCAGGGGTAGACAATCCGGAGAAGTAGACCCCATGATGATGGTGAATTTCATTTAGATTTGTATTCAAATGCATCAGAATAGCTTAATAAGAGCTGTATTCCCCATAGATCGTATAGGCCGATGAGAGACTGATAGTTGAGTTTTCTCACAATCTTCTGAGAAGGCATCAAGACAACATTAGACCTCATTTAGTCTTATATATGAGATGTATTCACCCTATTTCATTTAAAGTGACGCTTGACTAAAAGTTAAATTTTCCCACAATCATATGAATATATCTCAAGTTTTCACTCAATTTCACATAGCTTGACTTTCCCAAAAGGTATTATCATCCCACTACGGAATGATGCAGGAAAAAATGCCTGACATTCGTTAGAATTCACATCTGTCCTGTGGCCCAAGGGCACTCGTGACAATGTGGCGGAATGGTTAACGTGTCGAGATTGCACACTGCACTGTCATGGTCTGCGTCGCGCTATGGGTGTGATGAGACCCGGGGGAGGTCGAAACTGCAGTCCAGCCGGGATGAGAATAACTTTTGTGCAAGCAATGCTATGTGAAATTGAATGGAAATGTAAGGTCTACACACATCATTCTAGGAAAATGCAAGCGTCAGTCCCTCATCACCTCAAACACATCTCAAATATCTAATTTACTGGCAGTCTCGAAAGCCAACCCGAAACGATACAAAAATAATTTTTTGCCGAAGCTTGTTAGTGTTGGTTTGTCATAGTTTTCGCAACTTGACCAGAGCGTCAGAAAGATCTTCCAGCATCGGACACTTGACTTGATGGATGCTGTAAATCACGATCATTCTGGTTGAGGACGCAGGACCAGGTACTTTCCGCAAGGTCTCCCTGAAGCTGCAAACAGGTTGCGAAAACGAGGTCCGACCGATGCTTTAAAGCTGAAGGAGACTGCGACCAAACAGAAGGGCCCACCATCTTGGTCCTCGTACCACCGAGGCGTTTGCTCAACCAGTCAGGTGATGTGGTCCAATTTAGCTCTCAAGGTGGAAACACAACCTGATGACTTGTGGAAAAGATTGAGGCTGTTCGAGGGAAGCGATGTGGCCAAAAGTGCGCTTCAGTCCAGGCGACAGACAAGGGGTCGCGGCACTTGCAGTCAGTCTCGGTTGAGAGAGCCCAGGTGTCATTTATTCCCCACCTTGGCGACCAGGTGTATGAAAGACACTTAGGCTTGCTTATGTCCCCAGACCGTTTCGCCCGGTAGCATATCGAATTTCGGTGAATCGCCCGCTCCCCGGCCACACAGCAGCAACACAGGGCTCTTCACCTCCTTCCGGATGGTGTAAACACCAACTTGCTTCATACACACCTTTGCATCCGTCTGCTCCATCCTGTCTTTACAATCACCTCTTTCTCTTCTCCCCTAAGCAGCCTTTTAGGCGTCAATCAGTCAGAATCTCCGTGGCCACCTCCGTCGAGGGCTCATCTCACATCTCACATCGCACACTTTGCCTCACCTCCTAGAGCCGCATAAACCATCTAACACGTCTCCACACTTTCCTACACTTTGTCTCCTTTCAGCATTTCTTGCTACCTCTCCCCTACCAGCCTGTAGTGGGACCATTCGTCTCTCGTTTTCATAACTGACAGTTTGAAATCGGAGCCTCGCTAAATGTGTCTATCTACATGCCCCCTTACACACATACCCATAAAACCCACATTCGCACACACACACATACACACACGCATATATATATATATATATATTGGGAGATATATATATGTATACAGAGAGTGTTTAAATTGTAAAAAGCCGGATTATGACTGGGTGGAGCAAACGGATAAACAAATTATATGGAAAAAGACCAACACGGAATTATCACCAGCCCAAGGTGCTTACATGTCGCCAAATGAAGTGCAGCTGATTTGAGAGCTTGGAAAGGAAGCCGTCTATAATCCTGGTCGGGAGATAATTACAACAGTTTCAAGTGGTCTATGAGACATGCCTACAAACTCGCAGACTCAGCGTGACCAAATGAGCAACAATAGTTCGCTTGACGTGTCCTTCGCAAGAATGACGCTTCCGTGAACCTCCACTGGAGTTGCCCAGTCGAGAATTTTAGGTCTCTATGGATACATAGACATTATCAATCCACCGAAGTTGGATATGTGCGATCGCGACTTACCATTTGTTAGGAAAAGCCGAGTGAAGAGCTGCATGCATTCGCTTCATCAGCAACCGAAAGAGACATGTTTTGGAGTTATGAGGTCGGATTTGTGCGACTAAGTCTTTGGCGCATCATCCTGCGGCCTCAATTTATCTGTGCCAGGTTATCGCCTGTCATGTGGCAGCCAATGTCAGAGGTAACAACATTTTATGTAGGAAATTTCAGCTGTGAACACCAAGTTGGTGTGGCCTCCAAGTTGCTCACAGTCTCCTTTCGCCTTAGTTGATTGGCGTGACCTCGTTTTCGAAAATTAATCGCGGTTTCAGGGACTCCTCGAACAACAAATCTTATTCTACTTCTTATGCCATAGAGTGGTCATGATACCTTCCAGCATCAAACAGTTGACTGGACAGGCTCTGATGCTAGAATGAATTATGAAAAATATGGGAGGGGACAGATTTTGGAAGCGTTGAATGCGCGAGAAAGAGTTGAGTCTGGTTTGATGTAAAATTGTTGGGTCCATTTCAAATGAGAGTGTGCAGGGAAGAGATTCGAAAATGGTCCCCACCAAAAGACGACGGTGGATTCCTCCTGGCCAGTTGGCTTTACCGGGACATTCGATTCCAGTAAAAACTTCCCAACATTTCGTCCGTCATGCGGCAGGCAACATCAGAACGGGTTATCATTGATACAACCAACATAAAACGCTGGCGAAAGTCAAGCTAACCTGGTTATCCCAACATGTTGGTAATATATGCTAAAACTATGCATTATAATGTGGTATAAAGTAATTTGGTTAGTTGAAGTCATATTTCAATCTAGAAACATATGAGTGCGTATATATGTTTTCATTTTTTTTCTCTGATTACATAATGTCGGACACACGTCTAGCTATATTGAAGAGCTTTTTGTCTATGCGTGTGTGTGCATGTTAGAGAGGGAGAGAGTGAACTAGGTTGTACAGTTTGGATGATCACAGTTAGAAGCATGACCAACAAAAGGCTAGTTGACTCGCCTCCTATTTTCAGGGACTTGACACACTTTCTATACTCAAAGCTGTCCCAGAGGCATGGCCACTTTTTTGAGTACTTCATCGTCCTTACTATTCTTTCATAGCTCCCATTTTGCCATCGGCTTTTCACGGCACGTATGTTTCTTTGTATCACTTCGCTTGGGTAGCCATTGCCGAGAAATATCCTCGTCAATTTGTCAATATCTTCGTCCCAGAATTCGGATGATCATGCTTCTCATTATTCCAATCTTTAGCCTGTATTTGTGATGGGACCGGAAATTGAGTATTATTCCAGCAGAGGACTTTTTTCTGAACAATTTCT